CATGGGCGAGGAAAAAAAAACCCATGTTTTTATTTAAAAAATAAAAAACCCCAACAAACCAAAGGAAGAAAAAAGTCACATAAGGGACAAAGCAATCTGCTTTACCAATCCACATTGTGAATGGCATATTGAATATTTTTGGCCATGTGCTAAATGGGGATTGCTTGCTCAGCCTTTTGGTTTAACAATTCATTTTTTATAGACCAGGGCAAGTGGGTTAGTAAGAGGCCTTAGGGAAAAAGGATTAAGAAGGTCATGATGTATTCATAGTGATCTTCATTGGTAATGAGCAAATTTAGGCCGCCTTTTTCATACAGATAAAATCAGTTGCTCTCACTAAAACCGCCAAACTCAGGCACTGGTAGACAATGTTCATGACTCAAATGACTTACATTTAACTGGAATCTTCGTTAATCATGTTCTTTCTTCTTTTTCTTTGTCCAGAACATTTGTTGAGAACATCTTCTACCAGCAGGCCAGCATCTTTGCCAAGAGTACCTGCTATGGAAAGTGCCAAATCTATTTCTGGTAATACCACGTTTTTTAGATGATTAGTAAAATCAGGAACTCTGATTCCAACACTGTACTTACAGATATACTTTACTTTTTCAAGAGAAAACTTTGGTCTTCAGACCATCAAGCTCTTGTCAGAAAACCTCTATTTGGATATTTGGAATAGCATATTTTTCAGTGTTCAAGTTTTCTGTTGAAATATTTGGGGAAAGAAACTAAAGTTGCATATATGACTTGCACCAACATACCAGATGGATGAGTATGAATCATGCATCTAACAGCTGACTTCTATGTCATCTTTCCTTGTATTACAAATAATTTTGGTGTGCAAGGTATATGTGAGGAAATAAACCGTTCCTGGCTGTTACCTTTTACTGCTTGGATGTAGGATTATTTTTTTTAAGTGAATGAGACAGAGAAGCATATTATTGTTCTCTAATTAAGCAATTCCATTTTTGTTTGTGGAAAGAATTATTTTCAATGGTTTAAAATAGGACAATTGTTCTTTTTAGGTAACAAATGCATCATTTTACATTATCTAATGCATATGAATGTTTTCCCATATTACCTAGCAAAACTTCTACCCGTTCTGTAGGACAAAAGAATGTTTGCAGTGAATCATTTTTAAATAGTCCATTTTGTGACTGGCATAACCTACAAATATTTTTCAGTATTAATCATAGTGTTTGCTGCACATTTGATGTTAACTTTGGATTTTTAAAAAATAGAGTTGCTAAAAAGAAGTTTATGTAGAGTGTTAGTTTACTGTCAAGCTGACGTCTTAGTATCAGCAGGGGCTTCTAAAAACAAATCTTTAAGATCTATAGTACAAATAGTGTGACACTGTGAAAATGGTACTTTCTATAAACTAGGCAGAATTAATTTGAGAGAAATATTTTTTAAAAACACCTATATTTGAGTAAATGGTTTCAAGAAGAAAATGTGATTCAGATCATTTGATTTCTCCTGGAAAAAAAAGAAAAGTGTTTTTTCCTCAACTTCTTTTGTCTAGTATTTATAAATGAATGTACTTGCCCCAAGTCATTAGAAGATAAGTCTCTGATATATGTGGATTTGCACAAACATAAACAATGGTGACTATTTAGGTATAAAAGGCAAAGATCATACGTTTAACTGTAAACTCTTCAATGCAGAGAAAACATAACCATTCCAAATTTGGTTTTACAGCGTGTAATGCTTGTGCTTTCGTTCGAAAGAGAAATTGTTTGTCCTTTTCTCTGTGGAACATGGATGAATGGTCTCAGGTCAATCTTTGATTTGCTTGCTGAGGATATTTAATTAATGTCCAGAGCATCACATACATGCCAATTCTTGATTAAAATTAAGTGGAAATAAAGCAGCTGTCATCTCTAAACTGTTTTGGTTTTCTTTTTTCTTAACTACTTGAAGCTTAGCCACATAACTACATGGACCAGAGAAAAATGAAATGGTTTGTTGTTAAAATTCCTTCTCATTCATAAAATCTTGCAAATGGAAGTAGTGATATTCCATTAAGATACATTCATCAAATTTTCTTTGCTTCAAGATACAGGCTTGATAATAAATGTTGGCAGTGCAGTCTAAATCCTTGATATTTCCTAAGTGGAAAGTATAAAGAAAAATGTTGAAGCCTAGTATTGTATATGGGTTTCCGTGCATGGTTTCTGAACTAATGCTTGTCAGAGAGCAAGAATGAGTTTGAAAGGTTTTACGTTTGCAAACAATAAATGTATGGGCATTTTCCCACTTAGTCTCTCGAAGAAGTAGTGAAGAAATCAAACGGGATATCAGTGCACCTGATGGAGCATCTCCAGCATCTCTCATGGCAATGGGTACCACCTCACCACAGCTGTCACTCTCATCTTCCCCTACGGCATCAGTCACGCCTACAACCAGAAGTCGAATAAGGTAAAAACCCTTTTTTGTGGTGCACTGAACTGTGTTAATTTCATAGCTCTGTCTGCATATATCTAGTATATAATATTGGCACTAAGACTGCAGAATCTACTGCCACCCATACAATAACAATCTTCAATAATCTTTGAGAGCTTCAGAAAGTGTTTTCTGCAGCTCAGTATATGTTTTGAAAGTTAGACCAGAAGTTAGGCTTTTTAGAGCTTATGAGGTTAATACCAAAACTTTATGCTCCACTAGAAAACCAAGCTAAGTCATGTCACTAAATAATAGCATCATATCAGTTCAAAATACTATGAAGCCAAATTCAAGAAATGAGCTTATGGCATGTTGAACGAATCTTTCAGAGTGGCTTGGAGCCAGGAAGACCGCATGATAAACCTTAACTTTTGTAATCACAGCCAAAGACAAAAAGCAGCATGACTAGGTCTTAATTCCAGACACTGCCAAGTCTTCTAAATAGCCATGAGTGAATGGGCCTGGGTTATTTGTCCCACAGACGAAATCATAATGCAAGTCTAAGTAACAAATGGCCAGGCAACACCCTTTCATTAGTAAAATAAAAAGATAAGTCTGTGGTAAATTTAAAACTTTTCCTATCTGTAGTGTTATCAGTCAAAGGACTTAAAAGTATTTAAGCCTCGTGTTATGCAAGTGAAGTATGTACTTAGCCCTCCTTCATAGATTGGGAAACTGGCAGATGAAGCTTAAACGACTTTCTCAAGACCATTTAACACAGAGCTTCCTGGCAAAGCTTTTGTACAGCAGAAATATGAAACCCTTAATGTTCTGAGACATTGGCAATATGTAATAACTACATTATAAAATTGTGAAGTTATTTACAGCTGTGGGTGCTATTGAAAATTATTTCCCTGAAATCAGCTGAGGCATGCCTTAGTGATGCTCTCCTTTCACTGTGCAGAAATTAAATTGAGTTTGGATCTGTGGGTACTTTACCAGCAGCAAATAATACTGTGTGTGTTAGCACCTAAATTTAGACTGAGTACATCCAGAAATAATAAAAAAAAAAAGACTAAAACTGGTAATGTATAAAATTGCATTGATGGCAGCCTGCAGACTGTAGCAAATAGTGTGGCATTTCATGGTAAAATCGTACAGATATAATTACAATATCTTTACTATGCCGCCCAACCATTGACTGCAATGCTAAGCACTACAAGAAGACTTAGTAGTGGAATCTGCAGCAGTGGGTGCGCGGTGATGAGCATGCTCTTCAGAACTGTCCTCAGAATGTCGCTGCTGGACTTCAATTTGTTATGTGGTCAGGTTTCTCTTTTTTCCCCCTACCTTTTTCTGAAAGTTGTTGTAAAATAAATAGTTATTGCTATAGTTCACTAAAACAAATACTTGCAGTTTACTGTTCCCTGTTCTAGTTGAAACTTCGTTGGCTCCTTGATTTGGAATATAGTTGACCTAATATACTAACTTGTAAGATTTATATATCAAACAATTTTTCATCATCTCTGTACAACTTATGCTAATTTATTTTCTTCAGCAGTGTTTTCATAACTGTGAGAACCTGATATAAACCATGTGCTCTTACTGGAATTTGAGAACAGGCTGTACAGCTCCCTCATGGCTGAACAGTATGTTTAGCGTAAAGAGAGGGAGCTTTTCATTTGAGTTCTCGTATGTTGTCCCAAATCTCTGTTTTAAAGTTCTTGTAGTGTTGCATAATCTTCGTTGTAGATTGAGTATGCAATCCCATTATTATTTGTTTCAATCACCAATGAAAAAAATACACCAGTTGGGGTTGTTGAAATATGTACTGATTTAAGAACTGAAGTACAGCATTTCTTGAAGCATCATTCTGTCTGTGTGGTACCTATGAAGTTTAGATACAGTAACCTATTCAGATCATTTATTTCATATTTAAAATAACACAATTAGCAACTTCCTTGTCATGTTAAATCTCTGAGATTAGCAGTTAGGTTTGAAGGCTCATACTGCTATCTTTCATGCTGAAAGGCACTTACTGTTTCCTGTTTATTGTTCTGCTGTGCATATATTTTCATGGATGTTTCAAATGCCACCACTGATATCTCTTTCTAAGCAACTTTGAGATCTTGCCAACTGTATTTCAGTGAAGACTGGCCAAGCAAATTGCAATACATGTACTTAAGATTAGTGCCTTAGAACATTTCACTGTATGTTGGCACATGTTCTCTTCTTTTATGCGTTGAGTGACAGATGCTGCTGATATGTGGAACAGTCTCTGGTGTTCCATTGGTAGCACACATGCATGAAGAAATCCACATCCCCTGGATGCTTTCTTTTCCCCTAGCAGGACCTGGAGAATTGCTACCTGTAAATCTGCAGCAGAGAATCCACTGAAAATACTACGTATTTCCACCCTCCACCCCTCTTTCCAGTCACCAAATGGGTTGTAAAGAACAAAGAGTTAAAGATTTGAGAGTGAATGTATACAATCTGTATCCCTTTTTGGAAATATCCAAAAGGAGTAATTTAAGGTATCATCTTTGTGGATGTTGTGGGAATTTTGCTTACATCTGCATAGAAGTCTTTAAAAAATGGCAGATGAGGAAATCTGTGCAGCATGGATTCACTGATAGCTATCTTAATTTTCCAAATGGAAATTATTAAAAATAAGAACAACTGCTGGCACACTTTACGTCCAGTAACTAAGCTCCATAATGGTGTAATACCTAGTCTTTTTGTCAGAGACTGTTCACTATAGTGTCTGTAGAAATACTGAATCATGTAACTAGGCCACTACAAAAGTATTAACCTCTATAATATATATTTTTTAATCTAAGTACTGGTTTCTGAAGCCTGGTAAAGGGATGTCTGTAATGTAAGACTCATGTGAAAAACTGGCCAACCCAGATATGACCATTCCTTTCTTCCCCAATCTTTCCTTAAAGAAAAAGACTTAAGGTAAGCTTGACAGACCGGAAGTGAAATTAATTGATAGATTTTATTGGTAATTGAACATTCTTATTTCAAAAAAAGTGAATCATTATTGTGCCAGTATATCAAATGGCAGATCAACCTAGTTAGATCGTCCCCCTCTTTTTTAAGAACTCCAGATCTCAGGCAAATGCTAATATGCAAACGTGTTGTTTCAAGGTGACATTTGTACTCAGCCATGAGATGCAAGAGAGATAGCATCAGTTTATTCTCTTTCTAAATACAAAATAAAGTCACTTGAGTTAGCTTAATGGTTCTAGCTGAAACTTACCATGTTGTGAGTTTAATTTTCTGAACTCTTAGAAAAAAAAAATCATTGAGGTTGAAAGACCTAGAAAAAAAAGTTTAAAGGAAAAAGAAGGATAATTTGCTAATGAAAGAATTACTCCAAAAGAACTGTTAAGTCTCTGCAGGTATTTCTGTGTATTCTATTTTTCAGTCAGTAGTGCTGTGCCTTACTACTTTCACTGTGACATTAATTTGTCCTTTTTTTAAAGTTTTTACAATATGTATTTCTGTTGCAAAAGATATGTTACAAGCTCTGAGTTGCACTTCTGCCTTGTTCCTAGGGAAGAGAGGAAAGATCCCTTGTCTGCCCTAGCAAGAGAATATGGAGGATCCAAGAGAAATGCCTTGCTGAAGTGGTGCCAGAAAAAAACAGAAGGATATCAGGTAACTGTAGAGCTGTTTAACGTAGCATACTTCTAGCTGCAACACATTAGAATCTGCCAATGGCATAAACCAGGCTGCTCCACAGTTGACTGCATAGATTGCAGTGGCACTGGTATGTACTGTACTCTCTTCTTGGAACACATGCTACAAGTCCTAACCTAACTAACATTAATAGCTCTTCAGTCGCTTTGCTCCATGTCAATAATAGCTTTTTTCTTAAGGGGGCAGCTGACCTCCTATTGAGGCACTTTAAAACGGCCTTTTACAGATCACACTTTTGAAACTGTAACTGAAACTTTAGTAACTTAAGGTTTAAATTAATGTTTCCCAATGCAGTTAGAGTACCATTTCTTGAATTTCAGAGGGGGGGTTTGATAGATAATTAGTGTAGGGTTTTTTTGGATCTTTCAATGTGCTCCCATTTAGTCTCTATTTAGGGACAGTTTGTTTTGTGAAGGTCGCATTGTCTTGCATTTTGAACTTGGCTTTCTACTGCGGTTCCAGACTTTTTTTTTCAGTTAGACCAAACGTTATCAGAAGCCAAAAGAACTAACAAGATAACTATCCAGAGTTCTCCTGATTACATTATTTTTTCAAAAGAATAGTGGCTTCAGCAAACTAAACCAGGATGTTAATAGTCTGACCATGATGTATTTGTTTGATTAACTTGTATTGAAAGTGTTTGGAGTTCCCAACACAATCTTCAGTTTAAGAACTTTACTCTTTCCATGACTTGAGACTCACAATGCAGGAGGAAGTTAAGAGCCGCATAACAGGATGATCACCCATCCATAGGAAAAGTCATCTTTCAGTACAATGGACAGTCTTGTGATATAAGCCCTCCCCCCTCTTCCTGTGGCACGTCTAGTACTAAACTGTGCTATTTCTGAGGATAAGCTTCTTTGTGGGAAGAGCCTTTCTCCTTCCCCACATTTTAAAAAAGGCAGGATGTTATATTTCTTTGTAAATCCTCTAAAACTGAATGCAAAAATATTTTCCCATATTGTCTTGAAATGAAAGATGAATTTGACAGCTTCCTTATCTGGTTAGGAAAAGTAATAGAAAATATTCTAAACTTTTCATTCTGTAGTTGTGTACACATGCAAGAGCATGCTTTTGTTTATCTAGATTGCTGCTTATAATTACTTGAGTTTTATGAACACTAGTAGAAGAATAGGTTTTGAGACTTACTGTACTTGCTTCGACAACTGTAATATGGTTCTCTGCTTGTGTTGCTACTGAGAAATCATAGCATATAGCATCTGTAGAACCAATGCATGCCTTCTTTTGAAAGAGTTGGATCATATCAGGAGGTTATATTAAGACATTTTTCTCCAAAAACTAACTTTTGCTTTACACACACTCATTTTTCATTTCTTTGTTGTACAGAATTTGATTATTTTCAGTATCCCCTGAAATTCAGTTCTGGTTGAACACCATGTTAGTGGTGTTCTAATGTTTTAAACGTATCTAGCATTGTATTCATTGTGAATAGTGCTTATCCAGCTTTCTGGCATTTCAACAACGTTATCAATGCCAGATAAGGATCTTTTTTTAAAAAAATTGAAGCTCTGCTTAGTTTTAACTTAATTTTAAAACTATGTGGATTCAAAACTGACAAACAGTAAACAAGCATCAGAATAATTAACATCTCCCTTCCTCATTCAGTCCTACTTAAGGTACTCTAGCTCTCTTCCTTCTTCCCTGTCGCCCAAATATTGACAGGGTACCTTTTCTTACCTCCAGCTCCTCCTAGTGTCTTATACGCTACCACAGTTCCCTTTTATCCCCAGCATTTCCCATCATTATAACTTCTACTTTTCTTCTGTACCACTGTTTGCTTTTGTTTGGCTTAGCATCTGGGCAAGAGCCAGCACGTGCTTTTTAGAGCTACCTGCATGCTGACTGACGATGTGTCTTCAGTCTCTGAGCTGCTGTGTGAGCCACACAGAACAGAGGAGTCCTAAATATCCCAGCCTTTTCCTCTGTAGGAATAGCAGTAGGTCCACTTTCTTTCTAGTCATCAATTTGTATCCTGTTACCAATTTAAATCAATGCTAGCTATTATTTATTTAGTTACAAATATAACAGGTTAAAGGAAAAATACTGGCAAATTGAGTCTGTAACAAGTTCCAAAATGACCTTGAAGATTTTAACCATGATTTGGAAACAAGGAAAAGAGTCTTAGGCGGCTTTTGTTTCAGAATAATTCTTTTGTTAATTTTACCCTATTCATATTATATCAATTTGTTTCTAATGCAGATCTAATTAAACTACCTATATTTAAGTAAAACTCAGCCCTGTAAACCAGTATTTTTCAAGTATGTCTTTGCCAACGTGGAAGGATGTGGTTACTTCTTCATCAGTTGCCAACAACAGTCACTTTTTTTGTCTTGTTTTCTCCCTCTCACCTGGAGGTGCTGTCTCACAGCTGTAGTTTTTTTATGCATACATAAATATTTATAGAAAATTATACATAAAATATTTATAGAAAATTATTTCAGCTGTTGGTGTTTCATAGAGAAGATGGAAGCATGCACATTGAGTTAAAGCCCAATTTCTAACAGAGCCATGTTTGCTCCTGGCATTGCTTTACCTTTCATCTCTGGGATTACATTTTTGCACTGGATATTGGAGAATAGATTAATTTCTGGTTTATACATGGGTTAATAAGTAGTAATCACACAAATAGCCAGATACAAATCTTAATTTCAAAAATTTTGTTTAAAGTGTACAGAGTTATAGGTGAGTTACCAGTGGCTCAAAATGTTAAAAACAAGGTATGATGTAGCTGGTATACCCTTGTTAATGAGCAGCAGCATAGGATTGAACATTATTCTCCTTGGAGGTCAGCTGTAGCTCTTGAGCTGCTTTTTATTCCATGTGTTGAAAATACTAAAGAAGGAAAAAAACCAAACAACACACCAAGGTCTGTACTGTTTCACAGAGAGAAGGTTTCCTTTATTCACGTAATACTTGAGAATACAGTACTACTTAATTGCTTGGTACAACTAATTGGGTTTCTTTGTCTGCTCAAATAAAATGGAAGAATAACTTCTGCTCTCCTATCCCCTCTAGGAAATGACTTTCAAGCTTTTGATTAAAACTCTTAAGTATCTCTGTTTTTAGAAGCTTGAAATTTTGTGAATGCTAAATAATTCAAAGATGATAGTGTGGTGAAGCTCTAATTTCAGACCATTACAGTGGAAGGATTTTATTTAAAGCCCTTCACACACATTCACAGACATTTACGCCAAACTGTGCTTTCCACCTCTGACAAATATGTAGTTCCATATAGCAGAATTTTTAAAGGAATCTTAAGACTTTCTTTTTTGTGAATGCATTATGATAAACAAGCTAATATCTAATCCTATTACGAAACTATGATAAATTACTTCATTGTACAGTTTTCTTGATTTATTCAAGCAAATTTGGAAGGGAATAAATGAACAGATTTCTTGAAATGTAGTGGTGAAACAATATTTAACTGTGTTCCAAATCTGGTATTTTTTTAAGAGTACCTCAATAAAAAAATTAAGGTTAAAATAGCCAATGAAAATAAGAGAAATTCTTACTGATGTAAAAAACTGTATGGCTTTTTCTCTTACTATGTTGTTCTTTTTAATATACATGCTGTCTGAATGTTCTTTGCAAGCAGAATTTCTCCTTGAAGCTTAGGTTTGGAGGGTGGCCATCTGCAGAAGGTCATTGCAGAACTAACAGCAGGCAGGTTCTGTATTAACTTTCATCTAGAGCCTGTTCAGTCTAGACAGTATTGCACTCACTAAGTTACTGAGTTTAATTATATTCAGGGCTGAACAGATCCCTAAGCCATGAAAGAGAAGAGTTGCTCTCTTAAGATAAGGGGGTTTTTTTTTAGCATTTAGATAAAGGAGGAACGAATCACCTTTAGTTTTCAGATGAACAGACACAAAATACTTGAAATTTGATCATGTGTTAGCTTACTCAGGATCCGACATACTGATTCAGAGTACAGCGCCAAGTGCTGCATTTTCCAGAGAGAAGAGAATCCTCTTGGCTCCTCTAAAATATGTGCAGTGTCATAAAACTGTCATAAATTCCAGATATCTTCAAAGCATAAAGTAATCCCATCCAGCTGTTATGGAGCATTTACCCTAGCTGGAACACAGCTACTTTCATTTTGAGTACACAACTAATAAAAGTTAAAAAAAGGATGTGAGCATGCATGTTTCACGTTAAGAAAGGGACCAACAAACAGGATACACACATCCTTGCCCATTCTTATCTACAGCAATATTTCAATTTATTTTCCATTTTTTGTCAGCATACTGAGAGCTAATTCACTTCCAGAAGTCTGACACCAAAAAAGCAATTGTCACAAGATAGCAGCAAGAATAGACTAATTTTTTTTTTAGCCTTTCTTTAAGCTTTCCACGCTTCCTAATTACAGATATACTGGAAGACCTCCTTAATGTAGCCTTGTTGTACCTGTCCTCTAATTCATGCAATGCTGCTTTTTCTGGAAAGACCACCTAATTTCTACCTCCTATACAGATCAAAGCTCATGTCTTACAAAAAAATTTAAAACTTATTATCTACATGGCAGCAATAAACAATAAAATTGTTTAGTGATTGAGCAGTGTGATTGAATATGAATGTATGTGTACCTAATGCTATGCTGAATGTACCCTGAAATCAAGCAATGCTTTCATTTGTACTCAAGTAATAAGTGTAGAATAACAAAGCTAAGGGTAAAAGATGGTTCGGGTTGCTTTTTTTTTTTAAACCTGTTCTTATATACACATCTTTATCAACACTAAGCTAGATCATATTCTACTCAAAGTATTATATTGATTTTAAAAAAGCACAAAAAGAGGACAAGACTGTGTGCTTATGTAAGCCTATGTTCAAATAATGATTCCAGGGTGTGCATGCTTTCCCTGGTGCTGTCTGGTTGATTCATCAAAGCAGTCAGGCTGCCAAAACACTTCTCTCCTTGGTTTAAGCTGTGATGCTTT